CTGACGAGTCGCCAGACGCCGGTGACTTCGCCGGTTTCTGGAATTTATTTCAAAACCTTATATCTTCTTCATTTCTTAACCAAATTCCATGAAACTTGAACCAATTTGAAGATCTCACCAAGACGAACAAAACCATACCTGAGTCGAGCCTTGAAACCCCATAAACCTGCCAGAAAAAGCCTCGATATTCTGGAAAATCATAAAACCCGCCGTTCTTGATAATCCGAAGTCCAAATTCTTCCAACGAACCATTCCGAGCCTCATGAGGACCTCCTTAAGCTACCTGTAAGCTTGAAATCCCCAAAAACACACGATTTTATGATTGCATGAATAGTGACATAGATTGGGTTAGGGTTTTCACGAGTTTTCGAATAAGTTCTTACCTAAAAATGGTACCATTTAACTCGTATGAACCTCAAGAACACAATGGTGTCCTTTAAACTCTCGATCTGCAAACTTTCGACTAGTTTGTTGTTAATCCGTAAGGGGAGAAAGGGAGAAAGAGTGAGTCCGAAGGAGAGAGCACGGGAGAGAAGAGAGAGAAAGGTACTTTTGTGTGTGTGGTCCAAATTGGGTCACCAACCAAACAACTAAAACTTAAAATTTGATTGAGTCCAAACCTTAGCCCATTTACACACACCACCACCAACCGTTCAAAGGTAATTTCGTCAATTCACGTTATCGATAACTTTTATTCGGGACGGGCTGTGACAAAAAGTGGGTACAAACTAAAATATAAATATATGATACAAAGTTTAGGCATAAAACATAAATATACCATATGTAATTTTTCTATCATTGATTAAATATACAATGTCATGTGACGGTATATACATGGGTACAAACACAAATAAAACTTTAAAAAATATGGGCACAAAAAGAAACTAATATATGGGTACAAATTAAAAATGAAAAGAAAATTGGTACAAATTAAAAAATATTTGCAAATTAAAAATAGGTACAAGCTAAAAATAAAAATATATAATAAAAAATTTAGCCATAAATATAAATATACTAATTGTAACATTTTTAACACTAAAGGAATATATTTAAAAATAAAAATATTTTATTTTTCAAATAATTAATGATGTTATTAATACCCAATGACCTTGATCAAAAATTAAAAATGAATAATATTTTAATCAATAGAGTAACAAAAAGAAGGATGGAAACCTAATTTTTCCTTGATTTTTAGTATTATTAAAAACTTAAATAATAGAATAGGAAAAAAAAACCCTAAAATCCTCCACCCCAACGCTACAAATGTAGAGCCCCAAACTTGGACCCATAAATAAATAAAGAAAGATGATGAAGAAAAGGAGGGGGAAAAAGAAGGGCAAGTGGGAGGGTCATAGGCAATGATTCCCTAGAAGCCTGACCTTGTTCTGCGATGGAGGGAGGGATGGGGTTAATTTTGAAAAAGCAAAGCAAAACAAGGCGTATGATGATTCCATGTCCCATTCATTCCCGGGGTATAAAATGACCTGCGCTCCTTCCTTCCTTCCCTCCCTCTCTACCAATTGCCAATATTTTGTCTATTCGTTATTCTCAAGCATCATATACATCATCAGTTAATCATTTCCAGTCTGCAACAATATAGTATGTTTTCTCTGGACAACGGAGGTAATCACATAACGACATATTTTTATCGCTTCATACTCGGTTATTGATCTAAACATCTAGCAACACGGTTTCTCTTGGCTATATGGTTCATCTCGGAGAGGGTGTGTACGCGTGGCACCTGGCCAAAAGGGCGGACCTTGCTAACTCAAGAGGATGGTTTTGGCAGACATCCGCGCTTGGCAGGAGCTCGCAAGGCAGTAGCTCCTTCCGAAGAAAGTTGAAGCAATACTATTCGTTTCCAAGTTTCCCAAGACGGAAACATTTGTTTCTCGTGGTTACTCAGGAGCCTCAGTTGCACTGATTCTTGACCTAAGTTATGATCGACAGGACAGGCACGGACGACTCCGCTCGTAGTTGCAATAACTGTTGATGCATGTGGAGCTCAAGATGTGGTGGGCAACTTTTCTAAGCTCAATCTCACTATAATTCATATTTCAAACCGAATGATCATTTCTTGTAACTTTGCACCACGTGTAAATAAAATTAAGGGGGTTTGAGGTCAATTACATAATACCCAAATACGGAGCTGACGTGGTTGCCACATTTGTACCACGTGGCTGCTACCTGTATGCCATGTGGCAAAAAAATAAATTTTTTTATTTTTAAAACCCGAATCTTCTAAAAAAAAAAAAACCCATACATACCCAGAAACACCCTTGACCCACTTTTCTCCATCTCCTCCCACTTCACCTCCCATTCCTTCTCCCTCCTCTTCTCCCTCCTCTTCTCCCTCCAAACCCCCATAAATTTTTGCACTTCTTCCAGAACCCATAAATCAAAATGAGCTCTCAATCCGGAAAAAAAACCCCCAAAATTTCATGGATTTCGAAATTTTATTTCCCAAAATTCAAAACCATCATCTTTTCCACATCAACCTACCTGAGGACGAGGAGGGCGGTGAAGAGAGTGAGTAGCTCCAACTCCAAGATTTGGACTTTGACCATAGCCAACAATCTTTGAGCAACTACCCCCACCCGATCCTAGCCAACAATCTCATCTTCCCATTGCAACCACCTTCATCCCCCACCCATTGCATCCATCTGGTTACCTTCACCCCCACAACCCACAAATGACGAACCAGTAATGGTGTTGATGAAATTTGAGGCTACGGCAAGACCCCAACCTACTTCCTGTAAATTGGTTTCCAACCACCACCAAATCCCCAAATTAGCCAGGGGTCATTTTTAAATTTGTTTGAAGTTTGAATGGGTGGTTGTGATGGAAAAAGAATGAGGAGATTGAGATGGTTGCCCCAAAATCCCAACCACCACCAACAGCTGTGATCTGTGGTCCTCACTCTCAACGGGTTTCAACGGCTTCACGCCCATTACATCTGGCATCTTAGCAAGGTGAAGGGGTGGATGATGGGTGATGGGTGATGGGTGAGGGAGAAGGGGGTGGGCTCAAGTAGGGGTGGGTGATGGGGATGGGCTCAGGTGGGGAAGAAGGGGATTTTTGGTTTTTGTTTTTTTTTTTTTTTTTTTCAAGAAGATTCAAGTTTAAAAAAAAATTTATTTTCTTTGCCACGTGGTACAAACATGGCAACCACGTGGTACAAATGTGGCAGCAACTAGGGCTGGGTTTGGTTCGAAACGGTTCGGTTTTTTGTCAAAACCGAAACCGAACCGAAATTTCGGTTCAGTTCGGTTCGGTTCAATTTTTTTCGGTTTTTTTCGGTTTTTTTCGGTTCGGTTTTTTTCGGTTCCGATTTTTTTCGGTTTGGTTTCGGTCCGGTTCGGTTTTTTTCATTATTATTATTATTATTATTTTAGATCTGGATATTAGTAAACTAGCCCAAAAGAGGACCCTGCCATACTAGCCCAATAGTTCCAACAAACAGTAAAGGCCCAAGTCATAAAATACAACAAAAGAAAACCTAGGCTTCTACTGCAGCACCCGCCGCCGAGCATCCCTACTAGCACAAACCCTCGCCACCAACCAACCGACGCCTCGCCGATTGTAACATCCGGCCACGAGCACCTGTCTGAACACAGCCAAACAAACGAGATCCAAAGGTTTAATAAAAATAAAGATCCAAAAACCAAAGATCTTTACTACATAGGGCTCCACAAAGACAAATCCAAGAATAACATCAGCAATTTTTCTTCAAAAATTCACAAAGCATAGTCAACAAATAAATTCAAATAGCATAGTCAACAAACCAAAGAAATAAAAACTATTAATCAAAACATAAAAAAAAAAAAACTACCATTTTCATTTTTCAGCACTCAAAGAATTAAACAAGAAAAAGAAAAAAAAAAGAAAAAATTGAATACTTACTATTAAAGAAATCCGGAGGAACAAAGATGGATGTCTGGTGCGACCTCCATATGAATCTAGAGTAAAAAACTATTTGGCTTGTATTTGAAAAGCAGAGATCGAAAGTTTATGGAGAAAGAAAGGAATATTAGAAAGGAGTGAAGAAGTTGTTGTTATAGGTGAGAGTCCATAGAGAGTCTATCAGACGAGGAGTAGAGAGACAAGAGGCGTAAGATTTGGAAAGGGAAAAAATGAGGATTGTCAAATAAATTCATCACAAACCCTACTCCTCCTGTGGTAATCCTTTAAAAAAGTAAGATCCATGTTACAACCATGGACTTGGCAGGTTGGAGAGAGGAAGAGAGGAAGAGAGGAAGGAGAGTTGAAGGGAGGAAGAGAAGGAGGGAGAGAGAGACTGAGGAAGCGCAGCGGATGAGAGAAAGAGAGAAGAGAGATTTGAGAATGAAAATGAATGACGGCTAGGGTTTGTGAACTTTATAAATTTTATAAAACATTAAGATTAGAATTCCTATAAATATTACACTGGTACAATTATAGCAATACAAAGCCTACAGTCAAGTTGGTTTGAAGGAAGCTATCCCCAACCTGAACGAAAGGGGTTCAAATCTCCACTCCAGCAGGTTTTGAGTATTTATATTTTATTTTCATATTTCGGTTCGGTTCGGTTCAACAGATTCGGTTCGGTTATTTTTTCGGTCTCGGTTCGGTTCAGTTGTCGGTTTTTTTCGGTTTTCGGTTTTTCCAACCCACCCCTAGCAGCAACGTCAGCTCTTAACAAATGGATGAAAAATGTAACGGATGTATTATATTAAAATAAAATAGTAGGTAAGGTATAGAAGTGAAATGTTTTAAAGATGGGGTGTGCTATTCACACACCCTATTTTACTTCTCACACACCCCCTTGATAATTTCTGTCCGTTGATCTTCTTCAATTCATCCGATCCGAAGGCCAAAAATTAAAAAAATATGTGAGAAGTAAAATGGGATGTATGGATATCACAACCCTTTAAAGATGCTGTATGGAGTTATAATAGACCTCAAACCTAACGAGGTATTATGTAATTTACTCTAAAATTAAAGCTAGACAATTATGAGGGGAAAAAAAAAATAAAATCAACGCATCTTATCATTAGAGAACAAGTCGAAGTTGAGCAGCATAATCTAAAGGGTCAACAACGATTACAAGCAGCCAAACGTGTGAGAAACTAGATCACTAACTCATCCTAATTAATAATTAATCCTACTAATTAAGTCCCTACCATCACAAGACTTAAAAATCTAATTTCTACTTCACACACTTCTTGTTACCTGGTTGACACTTCCAGCCGGCCATGCTCCTCTATAAGGTCAAGCTGCAAAGCATTCTGCATTCCTTATTCTACTAGTACTAGTCATACATTTCACGATGCATAAACTACAACCTTCTCCTGCTCTCGAGCCTCGACTAAAGAAACACAACATCCGCTGATCATGCCTACTGCACAAATTAGTGAAAAGGCCTTCCCTCAGGTTGCCAAACCATTCACTTCCATGGCATGCTTGACATGCCTTGCAGGTTATTGTTATTGCAGGCTCCTGTGCTTTGGTTAAGCGGACTTCCAGGCCCGCCTGAGGATTCACTCAGTGTTCCACGTGACTGGGGGCTATTTGCTCCTGTTGGACCACTGCCCGGATCAAATTTTGGTGCTACAGACAAAGGATCCATTTGGTTCGCAGTCTTTGATTCTTTCCGACCATCTGCAACAAAACTTCCGACTACCACCTGCAATGAAATGGTAACCCCCAAAATCACTGGTTATATTAGGTCCATCAAATTTTTTTTTTCTTTTTTAATAAGAGAAAGATTCAATCATATGAAGAGCTGTATCTGAAAGTGCTCAATTCAAACATATGGCTCGTACTATGTCTAGATTCATAATTTGTAGACCCACACATCATGGAAGATTCATTTCCTTCAACTATTAATTTTCACATCACAAGTAAAATCTAAAATAATTTAAAAATAAAACGTACCTGAACAGGGCAGGCAGCCGTTAGAAGACCTGCCACGCCACCACCTAAAACTCGGCCATCTGGGCCAGATAATGACACACTTAAGCCCCCAGTTCTACTCCGCTGACCACCAATTTCAGATAGAAGAAACGAGCCTGAGAGTGACAGAATTTCAAACCTCCCCTGCATATGAAAATTCATAAGAGAAAACGGAAATAGCGAGAAATAACTCATAGGTAGATATAATACATAAGATGAAAACAATCCCTATGGTGACTACCATATAATTAACAGAAAGTTAATGATAATTACTTGTGTAAAAACAATAAACTCAGTACTGGGGTGAATTGTGACAGATACTAAATCTTACATGTAACTAAAGAGCAAACATGCTTTTTTACATTACATGCTCCTAGAGTAGAACCCAGATAGTAACTAATTCATTAATTTAAACCTATGGTGTTCAAAAGTTCGCAAACCAAACATAAACAATCATGTCAGAACATGGCGGCATAAACTCATTAGTATAGGCGTAGTCATGTATCCTAAAAAAAAACATAACTGTTCCTAGAGAGACTTGGAATATTAATCCCCAGTCAATGTTCCCAGAGAACAGCTACTGAGGCCCAACATACTAACAACAAAACTGTATGAAAAGTTCAACACATTATATGTCAAAGTTCAACTTGGATACCAGGAACGGCCAACAGACAAGACAGCCAGCAATCTCACAAACCTCATATGTTACAGTTCCACCAGATGTGGCCGGTTGGCGAAGAGTCACATTAGAGATGGCTCCAGTTGCAGACAATATGCAAACAGCTCTAGGACCATTCTGAGAGAATGACATTATTTTTGACCATACATCCTGAAAGGTTAAATGCATCAAAATAAAATTTCAATATAGTGCTATCAACTAGAAAAATGATGAGTACGCCGGCCAAACAATAAAGGGGGTGCGCATGTAAAATTAATGACATTCAATCATATTAGCAGCTAGCTCACTGGTGATGAGCTCTTGGGATGGGATCAGACCGTGACATGGGAAATGATATCCTCAGGAGAATTTTGTGATTAAAGTTCTAAATTCCCAGAAAGCTGTGAAGGAAAGTATAATACTCCAATGGCCCAATTATTCCCTAAATAGTAAATCTTGATGTTCAGTTCCAATGATATGAAAATATAAGAAACCAGAATTATTTGAATTTGAACTCATAAAATAAATATTTGAATTAAATATACCCAGCATTGCCAACCATTGGATCTAAATATTGTTAATTTCAATAGATGAAGCACTCAGAACTCCAAGTAGACAGAGAAAAAAGGAGCTTAACAAGATTCAGTGAGTGATGTATCACACATGCATTTACCGTATCAAAGAACTTGCATAATCAGCCAAATTAAAGAAGTGCACGATATGGAAGAGATGAGCTCCTCAACATAGAGAGAATAGATAGATATCTATAGTGCACTCAAATAACATTTCTTGCTCAACAACTGGTCAGACTACGCATGCAGTGATGATCAACCACGGAAGAGTATGAAAACTAAGTTATTAAAGAAAGAAAAGGGAAATTAGAAACCTCTCCAGCTTTTACAGTGATAACATGTGGTGTAAATCCAAATCCCGGAGCTCCTACAAACAGTAAAACTAATTAAACCATAGTACAGTTATCATTATATAGTTATTTGCAGCGAAAAAGCAACATTAAAATTGACTTTTAGAAAGATAAAGAATAAAATAAGATCCATTGCCACTGAAAGCATGCATCTATAAGTTATAAAATGAACCATTAAACAAATTTGTTTAGTTGAAAATTCTAGTTTTAGCACTTGATGGAGTTGGAATACTAAATTAAACATTATATAAGAAAATTTAAACGGGATGGGGGACTTGTTCAAAAGGAAACTTCCAAAAGCAATTTATTTCCAGTATTGGATATGTTTTCTAAATGCATATTGATACAGTTGTGCTGTAAAATAGACTGTCAAAAGGAGTTTAAAACAAGTAATTCCCTTTGCAAGAAGTACCATCGTTTTAACCAAATACCAAAAGCAATCATATACGCATGAAAAATCATGAAAATCAAGGTTAAGTATCATTCTATGCCTACACCTACAGTATACATACAATTGCAATATAGTGATCAAGGGCAGATAAGTAAATTTGACACATAAGAAAGAATCTCAAGCATAACATCCTTTGCTGTACCCTTTTCTATTTCATAAAGTCATCCCCGAATATATCCCTTTTATTAAATCCATTCATTTCCTGTCAGAAACCAAAACCAAACGGGAACCACTTCCAGATTTCCAGCACAGATGATACATAATAAAATTAAACTAATAGACACTGTTGTGTTACCTCAAGACCCGACCTCTCAAACCCACATCACACAAATATTTGCTAAACCCAAAAATAATAACAAAATCAATGACCCAGAACAAAAACAAAATACAATATAAGATTCAAAGGATAAATAAAACCCAGTTAGATTCAAAATTTTAAGAATTTCAAAAAGTTTAAGAATTTAGAATGGAAAAGGAAAGAAAGGTTACCCAAAGCATCCAATTGTTGCTTCTTGGAAGAACCAGGTGGTCTGCCTCTTGATTTCTTGGTGGAAGTCGAAGTGGGTGGTGGTGAGGCAGAACCTCCCCCAGAAGGAGGAGCAGGAGCAGGAGAAAATGCTCCAACACTGGACGAGCTAACGGTCACAGGCGGGACTGATGGTGATAGAGCCAATGCCATTGTGCCATCCGGCCCGTACTTCCTGGGCCTCCCTCTCTTCTTCTTCATTGGCTCAGTACCCATGTTCATGTTAAGCCCAGCAGTAGCAGCAGGGGCCATAACTGCACCCTCTCCGGCAGCCCCCGGGACAACAGCACCTCCTCCGGAAGCAGCGGCGGAGGTGACTGAGGACTGGTAAGCAGGTGAGGTGGCGGTGGCAACAGACTTGTAAAGAGCGGAGCCGCCGTCAGCACTGAAGTTCAACCGCATACTCTGGATGGCGGACTGTGACTGAATAGGATTCTTCTGCAGAAACGGCTCCCTACTCGTCATCACTCCCGTCTCAGATCCTGACATTTTTCTTTTTTCTTTTTCCCTTTTAGTTTTTTTTTTTATTTTATTTTATAAATTCGCAATTTTCACTTGGACTAAAATTCCATCAAACTAAAATCCCTGAAACACAATAAAAATGAAAAATAAAAAATAAAAAGCAGATCAGGACACGGAAATTTACCATTTTCTCATAGCCACAATTTACAGACCCTAATCTACATTCTAAAAAGTAGAGGTATAAATATGTAAAATTTTACTTTTAGCATCTGAATTCTTCAACAACCAGTAAAAACAAAAACGAAAACGAAAACCAGAAGAAGATGGTGGTAGATTCCCAGTAAGCTTATTCTGCAAAAGTATCTAACCCTAACCCTGACAGCATCTGGGATTAATTTACACAAACCCCAACTTCCAGACCTCGTTTTAAACCACCCGAAAAAAACAAATTACGTTTGCTTTTTTTCCCATTTCAGCGCAGATCAAGCAAAATATTCAAATACTAAAGCTTAAACCAGACAAGATTCAGCATTTTCATTCCACCAGTCTTTTAGAAAATAAAAGACTTATATTTTGCCAATTTACAGTAAAAGAATCATAAAATAAAATCACTGAAAATTAAGGAAAATCCAAAAATAAGCCCATAAATTACGTTCGACTTACCAATAATTCAGAAAAATTACGGCGACGCGGAAATTCTAGGGTTCCGGAACGAAAACGCAGAGCGGCTCCGAAGCCCTTTTTCTAAGAAATGCGAGAAATCTGAATATTTGGTTATATTTTAATTCTGATATTTTTCATTTTCTTTTTATTTCGTGCCTTTGCCTCTACGGGCTATTATTAAAAAAGCAACTAAAAGCCAAGCCCTAATTTGCTATTTTGCATTCTTACAAGTTACAATTAATTAATAATTTAATTTGCATTTACTCCAACGCCTTCATTGCCATTTGCTTTTTCTTTGGGTGCCGTCACTCGCTTTTGAATTTTAAAATATTTTAAATTTCAATTTAAAAAAAAAAAGAAATTTAAAAAATTCCTTACTGCCTACGTGGTCCTCCAATCAAGCGAGTATCTTTTATTTCCTGCTTTCCACTCTCAACCTGTTTGGATAACATTTTTTTGTCATTTTTGCTCACGGGCAGGTATGTTAACGCCACTCTATATATTAATGGTTAAAATTTGTATCTATTAGTATTTAGATTTTGAAGTTTAAACTTATATAACGGTGTTAAAAAGATGGCAAACAATTACCATCAATTGAGTATCGTGAGCGAAATTATTCTCATTTTTTTACTTGTAAGTGAAAAATATCATATTTGACTTGTTGAAATATTACAAATCAGCATAATGAGGGAGAAAAGAAGAGTTTATATATTCTAACATCATTTCAACTAATACTGAGACTTTTATGATAAAACTTCACATTTGTCAAACTGTGCAGATGATAATTAACAAGTTAAGGACGATAGTGGGTCATTGGGTCGTCTCTTTGATAATTTGAGACGACTTTAATAGATTACATGTCACGCCTCGACCCGCGAATAAAGACTATTCATGAGTTAGGGTGTGAGCCATATCTTAGTTATAAAAATAAATTATGTATAAAATCAATAAAAGTTACAATATTTATAAATGTATTATAAATAAACAAAAATTACAACTTGAACCACTACAGTTGTCACCCAGACACACCATTTCTCATATTTTGTTACATTTCGAAATAGGTCAATATTGTTTCTTGGTTTTGTTTTTGTTTTACATTTGGATTTAGATGTTGCGTTGCAGTGTCTGTTTTCTAATTTTGTTTTTGTCATCAGTCACACACTTCCTACACTTCACACTTCGTGCGACACTTGATTTTTACATTTGGATTTAGATACTTTACATTATTTTTACATTTGGATTCAGACAATGCAATATTTGTTTTTTGGTTCTGTTTTTTACATTTCTATTATGATGCTGCTTTACACTATCTGTTTCCTGATTTTTTTTATCACTTAATCGCCTTCTATGCTTCACACTCACACAACTCCTGATTTTACATTTGGATTCAAGCAGTACAACACAATGTTCGTTTCCTGGTTTTGAATTGCAGACGTAGAACCTTGTGCTCTCTCATTTCACCAGCTCTCTCTTGGCAAGCTCCTCTACTTAATTAGACCAACTCTCCTCTTAGTGATGGCTTGGACACACATTTAATCTTCTGTAATATATTTATTCATAGAATTAGGACGTTTTATATGTTTCCCATGTCCTGGGAGTATAGCCAACCCCACCCTTGTCCAATTACCATTTTCATGCTTAAGGCAAAAAAAAAAAAAAAAAAAAAAAAAAAAAAACCATCCAGAAGCAAACTTTTTCATAATTTCATTTACAAAGCCTAAATCTAGAGAACTTTAGAACATAAATTGCAATATAGTGTCTGATCTAAGCTTCAATTAAAACATGTCGAAATCCAATCCGGCTTTTGTTATCCATCCCAAAGAGTTTCTTTCGAGAATTGGGATCTACTGAAGGATTCTTGCTGAGACACCCTTACCGAAGCACAAGAGTTTCTTTCGAACCAAGAGGCCAATCACAACATGATATGTGGCAACACTAGAATCAAACTCCTAGAGTGTCATATCGACCGTGGATGGACCCAGAGACTCTCCTTAACTATAAGAAGAGACCATTCTCCTACAATGAATTCCTAATGCCATTATTGTACATAAATTCGTCATTAGAACTTGTCAATGATGATATTATGCTTGAACCTATGTATTGTGTAAACTCTTCACTATTAATGAGAACTCCTATACCATGTGAACGTAGCCCAACTTAGGATGAACCTCGTACATATTATATATGCTTCCTTATCTCTCTCTTTACATACTATGCTCACTAAGTAACCGAAGCAACCTTGCGAAGGTCACAAATTTGACACTTTACGTTGTTCCAAATTCCATCCGTTGTGCATCAACAAGATCCAAAATAAAAATTGATCATTGATATATGGTTCATTAGTAAAGTTTGTTATGACATTTTACTAAATTTCTTGTTTTTTTCCCTCACTATAGTCACCAAACACGCCTCTAATTTTATAAGAATAAAATTTTTTCACACCTACGTTTCCTTCTCTCCCCCTCTCTCTCATTTTTGTCTAACTTCTTTCTCTTTTACATATTATTTATCGTTTTATATATTTCTTTATGTGTGAGCTTTATCGAATGAGACGAGAACACGTGTGCAAAGTAGATTTGTATTGATTTAAATTTGTAGGTTACAATCTCTATTTACAACTTTTCATCTGATTTAGTCTTCAAATTTGATGTAGATGCGTGATTGTGGATCCAAGGGTCGCGATGACTTAATCTCGGAAAAACGATTAAACGATTACTTCAAGTTTTGAGCTTGAAAACAACGCGTGGATGATCTTCACCTCAAAGGAGTGGCAAAGGTAGTGTTTGATGCGAGATTTTGTTGCTTTAAGGATCTTGGCAACTTGATCTTGAAACGAACGTTGCTACAAGTTTATAAGCTTGCAACAAAGTCTTGAAGGAATCAGCACGAGCACTTGTTGATTCTTCAAGGAAGTGCTTCAGCTTTGGTCCAGAGGAAGCTTCGGCTTTGGTTGAATGTTCTTCGAAGAGAGCTTTGGCAACATATTAGTCTTCCAAGGTTTGGCAAAGGTTCTTCTGTGTAGACATTTTTCGACCCTTATGCTTATGGGAGGACCTTGTATTTATGGGCTTCTCAAGGCTTGCCTTTGGGATGATTTTAGGCATGTTTTGTGTCTTAATTTCAGCCACTTTACTCCCTTGGCTGAATTTAAGGATCTTGTTGCCTATTTTGTGAGCAATCTTCAATTCTTACTTGTTTTATGAAGATGCTTTAGCTTTCTTTCTAGTTTTAGGATCAATTTGGATTCCCTAGCCGAATTTAAGGGGGATACTCCCTTATTGCCGAATTTTAAAGGACGTTTCTTCTCTTAGCCTAATTTAGGGTGTTTGTACCATACTTGATCAATCCTGAACTACTGAGCACCGGTCAACGTTATACCGTCAAGGACCTAGAAGAGTTTCCTTCCAACCAGGATGCCAATCACAGCGCGACACGTGTCGACATCAGAAGCCAATCATAGCGCGACACGTGTCAACATCAGAAACCAATCATAACATGACACGTGTCAATGTCAGAATCAAACTAGAAACTCTCTTCTATAAATAGAGATCATTCTCTCATAATATTTCCTAATGTCATTTGTACTAAATCATTCACTTGTACTCACTAAAGGAGAGCTTGAACCTATGTACTTGTGTAAACCCTTCACAATTAATGAGAACTCCTCTACTCCGTGGACGTAGCCAATCTGGGTGAACCACGTACATCTTGTGTTTGCTTCCCTGTCTCTATCCATTTACATACTTATCCACATTAGTAACCGGAGCAATCTAACGAAGGTCACAAACTTAACACTTTTTGTTGTACCAAAGTCTTCACTGATTTTGTGCATCAACATTTGGCGGCGTCTGTGGGAACGACACTTATTCCCACTCTCTTTAGCTTTGCCAAGCTGGTTTCCACCATTCGTACACTTTCTTTTGACCAGGCATCCCTCTCCAACATGGGGAGCGAAGGAAGCCACAACACACAAAATGACACCCCTTTTGCAAGTGCGAAGCAATGAAAGAAGGAAGGATATAAGGTTGCTCTTCTAGTTAAAGACGATAAGTCGATGAGCTAGAAGCTAAGAAAAACAAGATAGCAATGAAGAATGAGGTCTTCCAGAAGTAGTATGAGAAGCTCTTTGAGACGCTCCACGAAATTAGGTGTACTTAAACACGCGAGGTCGTTGCCCTTGTGAACATCAACCATCATCTGGGTGCCCCCAACACGGAGGGTCACCTCCCTTCGACATGGGTATCCTTAATGAGGAGCGAGCTAATCATCAAAACATTGATCAACATAAGACTTCTCTCAACCCAGATGCTTTGACCCAAAGTAGAAGAAGTGGAGAAAGACACCTCATTGCAGAAGGGTTGGAAGGATCGAAAGTCGTTTATCATGACTGCCGAGACTTCCCAAAGAAGCATTGAGAGAATCCCCTCCACATATGCTCGAAGATCAATGACCCAAGGGTTTCTGAAAGACTCGGTCCCCTCCCACGACCCAGGCCAGCTGCCAATCTAGGGAAGGAACGACAGGTCCCAGAGGAACATGAAGGTACGGGGGACTCTGAGGTATTCCGACAGACTCGCCCTAGAAGTCAGTACGGCGAGTCCAAGAAAAAACCACACGCCCTTGCTCAAACTTTCCTACTTCCAAGAGGTGATGGAGACTTACGAAAGAAAATTCTAGTGGTACATGACTCCACTCAGGACCCCCTTGTCCTACAGCTTCTTGAGGAAGTAAACAAGTTAAAGGCCGAACGTTAGGCCGAGATACCTGACTGGAACCAACCCAGGCCTGGCCCTCTCACAAGAATGATCCTCGACACTCCCTTCAAGCGAAGACAAAACAAAAGCTTGGTTTACAACTCTATACTGGAAAAGAGAACCCAATTGAACACCTTAACCTCTTTGAGTCCACCATGGCATATTGAATGCACATCGACAAAGAGCGATGTCTTCTCTTCCCCTCCACCCTCTCTGGCGGAGCTCTAAACTGGTATTGCCGTCTTCCACCTAAGACAGTAGACTCATTTGAGGAATTGAGGAAACTGTTTGTCTCTCAACACATTATAACTATGAGGAATTGGGTAATCCCATTACAACAAGAGGGATAAAAGTTCGTATCAAGACAACCAGGGGTGAACGTACCGTCGACTATTATGACTAT